CATGAAATATTTATTAAACTTCATATACGAGTTAATGTCATTAAAATCTCTGAGATAAACCAGATTTGGTGAAATTCTGTATGTTTTCTTTTTTCACCCAATATAGGTTGCATTTCTGTAGATATCGACAATGCAATTTCCCTAAACCTGTACCACTTTTACTATGAAGTTTTGAAAAAAATTAATTCCTAGAATGGAAAGTTCATATGCACTACTATATTTTTTTCAAATGTCAAAATAAAGGGCATGCGGGATATTTTGAACGTGTATATGCCCGAACTTTTAAGAGTTTAAACATACACTAACATTTTGTACTGCCCTTGCCTTTACTTTAGGACTTCCACAGATTTCAATATGACTATTATGCATATTCAAATTTACTGGTAACATTTCCAAGTTATTTCTCTACGAGACGAAACATAAAGATCATAACTGGGAAACAATACGTCAACAAAATTAATTTTCTATGAATATTATATATCTCCCCAAAAAAGGCGTGGTTTGAGAAACAGCTGTATTTACAAAGTGCAACATATTATACCAAAACACGTGACATTCACATAAAAGGAAGTATACATCATATAGTTGATTGAAGATAAGATTCAGCTTCTTTTTAAAGATTAAAAGTCATACAAATTAATAGCTTGTTAATCAAATAATTGTTTTGATTAGAATTTATCTCAACATTACTTTACAAAATATTCGAAATCTTCAAATCCCAAGACATAGGATACTTGTGTAATAAATCATCTATGAGACCAGGTTTTGCAAACATTCCGGGATCAAATCTCATAATATCTAATTGGTTTTGAAAATGTCATACACAAATTGATAATTAGTATATAAGATTGTTTATGCTGTAACCATCTATTCTCTGAAAATAAACTTCACAGCAATTACCATAAAATTTGTAAGTATCACCTCTTATAAATGCATTATCCTCCTTTTGTGATCTTATAATAAGGAATGCAAAATTGACCTAAATGAAACCATCTCTGCAGTGTATATTGATATTTTTCAGATACTATACTATTTTGGATTTGCGTACAAATAAATTTTAATAAATGCCAGTGATAACCGGTGTGTCGTTTTTTTATGTCGTAACTGAAATCCGGTTCACATTTCGCGTATGTGACCTACCGATTTAGATTTATCAACATTAATCCATCATGATCAGTCCGTTTGAAGATGCAACATTTGATTTTGATTTTCGCATGTTTGAGTTCACAAGAATGACAAATTTCTTAAAAATTCAAATTACAGATATTCAAATTAAAATGTTAACTCTTTCTTATAATCTTTATTTCTGCATCCATTTTCATATTTATGTAACATTAATATATTTTTTCTAAGTCTTTTTGAATGTAGATATACATTACATGTATAGCTCTAAAAAAGAACAGATGATTCTCCATTATGATAAGAGGAATAATAATATTACACACCAGTAGTTGCGTTCTCGTTCTTGTTTGTTAAAGTTGATTGATTTTTTTCAGAATCAGCTTACTAATTACACTGGAAAACGACTGTCTGTACATTTACCTAATAGTCATTTTGCCTTGTTACGTGTTCTAACATTCAACGATCAATTAATACAAGAATATAAGTCAGTCTTCTCTATCATTTTACTGGAAATGTCATGATATATAGCAAAAGACGCTTATCCAGTCGACTGACACAGTCTCGTTTCATTTCCAATTCCTTTAGTTTTGTTTGTTACCATCTTCATTTATCATATCAATCAATTAATGATATCGGAACATCAGTTAATTATATATATATATAACTTATGTTGCCTATATTTATTGAAACATTATGTAGGTATTGGAATCAGTCTAAAAAAGAGGCGAAGTCTACCAAAGGAATATAAAAATTACCAATTAGACGACATGAAGAGGAAGCGATATTGTGTTCATATTCATTATATCTTCTTTTCCTACAAAAGTACATGGAAACATTAAAAATTATAATATTTATATTATTCTATTTTAGGAAAGTTTCATTTGCAATCGGAAGTCACTTATTCAAACCGGAACCAATATTCAAAAGTCCAAGACAAACGGTCTATGGAACATATCGCAGGTATTGTTACTATTTTGTATCCACCCCTTTTGTGTTATTCCTTTTGTTTTTAGAATGAAAGAACAATAATTGAGCCAGGAATTTTTGATGTTGTGGACAAAGTTAAAAGATCTACAGACAAAGTTGATCAAGTGTCTTCTTCCTCACGTGATTTTTATGATATGTCTAATAGCAATATAATTTAGTCACTAAAACAAACTTTACCAGTTTGCTGCCAACAACATGAACAAGCTAGTTTAAACCCTCCACATACTGTATTTGCTTGTTCCAAATTGGGAGCTTGTAATTCAGTGGTTGCTGTTTGATGCTGTGTTACATATTTGTTTTTCGTTAATTATTTTGTACATACATTTTTCCGAACGAAAATGATGTGTCTTAGATTACGTTGAATGACTGTGATGGGTTGAGTATTTTTAGAAGAAAAAAATATCTAAAAAAACGTGTCGTTCAATTTTTTTTTAACTAACAATTTGTGGTGATATTTAAGTCTATATATCAAGAATTAACCACCAGATAACATATAAAATCAAAATGCTAGGATTCAAAATTACCTTGTAATGTACACAACTACTTATTGTTTCCTTATCACCAACCACGTTTCATGAAATTCTGTTGTGCGGTTTGAGAGGTGTTACACTGACAACAACAAAACTGACGTACAGACGGACTGACGGATCGAAAACATTATATCCTTGCCAACTTTAATGTATGTGGGAGCGATGATAAGTTAGTATCAAGGAAGACACAGTCAGATGTGAGGAAAACATAGACCTTTATTTACACAGGCAAATTTTGTTCACGTAAATTTCACATGAAAATCACGTGAATTTCACCTCAAACGAGCTTATACATAAAACTCACGTGAAACTCACGTTATATTTACGTGAATCAAGTTTTCACGTGATATTCACGTGAAATTTTTCACATGAAATTAACGTGAATCGAGCTTTCACGTGAAATTCACGTTAAATTTTTCACATGAAATTAATGTGAATCGAGCTTTCACATTATTTTTTTTAAAAGGTGAATTGAGTCTCTATCACACAAATTTCACAGTATTTGAGCATATTTTAGATAAGTAAATGCTAATCTAGTACATATTCTATTTCAATATATATAAATATTCTTCTTGGTCTTGAGGATGTATTCATACTTCCATTCTAGTTTACTTTCTCTTTGTATCTTAAATTTCTTGGTCCTAAACAATACAAATAATATTTATTCATCAACTCCAACTCACAATATCTTCAATGCAGCAGATAAGATGCAATAAAACCAAGAAGGCAAGCAAATATCCAGGGCACCATAGTTCACTCCTAGAACATTTTTTGTTGTATTCAAGTCTCAATATTTTTTTTAATTTGATGTATGCAAGGTGATTCATTTATAGAAGATGTATGCACTGATGTATATTTCATTTTTAATATGTATGTATAAGTCTTTTTGTGTTCATCAGTTTTGAGACATTCCAATCACATTATGGAAAAGTCTTACTTGCAAAAGATGCCAATTCTTCTTATGAGAGTTTTGAAGAAAAAAGGTAGTTCACCCTGCCACATACTCATGTACTCTGGTCAATTAAACAGATCATGACATATTGTTTAGACACCTGTCTATTGTTGAGGACTGTATGTTAGCACCTTAATGCCTTTCAGGTGTTTTTGTTGTTGTGTTACTGTCTGATTGATTTATACCTCATATCTCATTGTATTAAAAATTCGTAAGGGTTCCGCGGAACCCAGTGTCTCGCCTACTTTTGCTGTTAATCACAGGCTCAACAAAAATGAGGAAAAAAATTAATAAAAATATTCCTCTCTATACTATCTTTTGATTGTAAGTAGCTTCTGTCCAAGTTTGGTAAAAAATCCAGGATAGTTTATGAATCTAATAAATGTTTTAAAAACTTAACCTGTAGACTGTATGTAATGTTAACTGGAAGAAAAACTAAGTCCATTTATAAGTAAAATACGGAACAAATGGAACAAAATTTCCTTCTAGATACTAGCTTTTAATCATAAACAAGCTTCTGTCCAAGTTTGGTACAAATCCAGGATAGTTTAAGAAAGTTGTTAAAATTTTAAAAACTTTAACCACAGAGTGAATGTAATGTTAACTGGCAGAAAAACTAAGTCCGTTTATAAGTAAAATACGGAAAAAATGGATTTTTTTTTTACAAAATTTACTTCTGGATACTATCTTATGATTATAAACAAGCTTCTGTCCAAGTTTGGTAGAAATCCAGGCTAGTTTAAGAAAGTTATTAAAAACTTTAACCACAGAGTGAATGTAATGTTTCCTGGCAGAAAAACTAAGTCCATTTATAAGTAAAATACGGAAAAAATGGAATTTTCTTTTTACAAAATTTACTTTTGAATATTATCTTATGATCATAAACAAGGTTCTGTCCAAGTTTGGTAGAAATCCAGGATAGTTTAAGAAAGTTATTAAAATTTCAAAAACTTTAACCACAGAGTGAATATTTGTGGACGCTGACAACAACGCCGCCGACGGAATGTAGGATCGCTATGTCTCGCTTTTTCGACAAAAGTCGAAGGCTCGACAATAAACTGAAATAGAAAGTTCTGTGAAATATATTTGATATACCATATTGAAAGTCTTGCTGTTATTTACAACCATTTCCTTCTTATTTCATGTATGGTTTTCAGTTTTTCATTTTAACACTGATCTTAAGGCTTAGTCAAAAAGAAAATAAATGTTGACAAACAACAGGCATATACCATTAAAAGATCTCAAAGTTTGGCTGCACAATAAGCTAAAAATTCTTGTTATTTAACATATTTATATAAAATTCATTTTAAAACAAGCATTTTCCATTTTTAGACAGTAACTGTCATGTTGACACAATAATTTGAATTTGAATTGTATTATTTGCTGAAAGTACTTGTGGTTGAAAAAAAGTATACACAATTTTTAATTCCAGGTGTTTAGATTTCTAGAATGCACCACTCCAATATCATGACTACATGTTAGTAATGTTTAAGTGTTCTCTCCTGCATGTAATTGCTACATGTATTTGTACACAAGGCTTCCTTCATACATTTGCACTTATCCTTCTAAGATGTTGCTTCAATGATAAAATCCTGTATAATCAGCCATAAACTCTTGGAATACATTTGCTGTAATAAAAAAAAAAAAACAGCATATATTATTTTGTAAAATATACATCAAATTAAATATTGCTTTACCATTCAAGCAAAAATGATAACATCAATTTAATATCCAAACTTACAGGGTACATATATATATATACTTTTATAAATTGTGACTTGGATGGAGAGTTGTCTCATTGGCACTCATACCACATCTTCTTATATCTATGTATATAATCATACATGTATATTGTGTGTCGGATTAACTGGAGTGGAATATTAATAGTTGTTGTTTGTTGCTGCACTACTTTTTCATTACCTCTGCTATGGAGGTTGTGCATAGGCGGATCCTTTCGTGGGAAAAATTTGGTTGATTATATAGGGAATCACTGAAGCATGACTGGAGCGGCACCCCCTCTTAGGTCAGTCAGCGGCCCCCTTATGAAAAGTTCTGGATCCACCACTGTTGTGGAGGTTTATAATGGTTGAAATTTGCCATGAAACCTTGAATTTGTAAACATTACAGATGAAAATCAAAATGCTCTGATCATTCTGATGATATAAACCTATTTAATATTAATTTCATAAAATTCTGGCAAGAATTGTACACAAGAGCCCTAACAATGCAATTTTCCAAATAATTAATGTTTCCAAGGGGCATAACTCTTTTAAAAATGATTGATTGGCACTGATTTTAAAACTTGTCAGACATTGTTGATATAACCTATCAAAATAAGTTTCCTAAAAATTTGACAAGAATTGTACAAGACATGCAAGTGAGAGCGCTTATAAGGCCAAAGGGATAGACAGACTCCAGGTATTTGTATGTCTCCACTGTTTTATGGTGCTGGTCCTAAGGATATAAGAATAATTATAAGTTTACGATAAGTATCAAATAAACTTAACATTACCAATGATTCATGAAAATATACTGTCAAGCAATTATTAAGGTCAAGTTCAGATAAACCAAGCCAGACAGACATGTGCACCTTACAACATGTACAATTATTGCATATACCAAACTAGAGGCTCCAAGGAGCCAGTGTCTCTCACCTGATATTTTTATTTACAATTGATGCATGAAATAATGCAACCGTTATACTTTTGCTTTAGTTTCAGAGATATACATGTAAGTCATAAACTGCATTTTCCCTCTATGTTCTATTTTTAGCCATATCTGCCATGTTTTTAAAAACTAGATACCCTAATGATGATTGTGGCCAAGTTTGGTTTATTTGTCTTTGTTGTTTCAGAAGACTTTTGTAAATTAAAAAAATTTACGAAAAATTGTTAAATTTGACTTTAAAGGGTAATAACTCCTTATCAGGTCAATTGACCATTTTGGTCATGATGACTTATTTGTAGATCTTACTTTGCTGAACATTATTGCTATTTACAGTTTATCTCTATCTATAATAACATTCAAGATAATAACCAAAAATGTGGATTGTACAGATGATGCCCCCGCTTGCATATCATAAAAGATATAAAGGGACATAACTGAAGAACAGTAAAAGTGACTCTACCTAAATTTGTACTTGATCTGTATTTAGTGGTAATAAGCATTGTGTATAAGTTTCATAACATTTGGTTGAGGCAAACTTAAGTTAGAGAACGGAAACCAACTTTGGGATGTACTTACGGATGGACGTACATACAGACGGACAAGGATAAAACTTAATGCCCCCTTCGCTACAGCGGGGGCATAAAAACTGCAAAATTTCCTTAAAATTACTAATTCAAAGGCAGCAAACCTACAACAGACAGATATATCATAATCTGATGAACATATTTTACCCCATGTCAAATTGTCTCTAAATGCTTTACTTTCATAGATATAAGCCAAAAACTGCATTTTACCCCTATGTTCCATTTTAAGCCATGTCAGCCATTTTGGTGGGAGGCGGGGTCATCAGACACATTTTTTACACTAGATACCCTAATGATGATTGTGGCAAAGTTTCGTTAATTTTGGCCAAGTAGTTTCAGAGGGCCAGGTGAGCTAAAAAAGCTGATCTTTTAATTGATTATACATGTAGCATGTATAGTATACACCAAACAGACTAAATTATTCAATCTTAATATTGACCAATGAACCATTAAAATCTGATCATGAATGGTCAGATGAACTCTGTCCAGACAGACATGTACAACTTACAATCATTCCATACATCATATATACATGTACTTGACATATTGCCTTCAAGAAATAAAAGTTAACATTGACCAATGAACCATGGAAATGAGGTCATTGTTCATTCTCAACACCAAATACAGTTGATCTACTCAAGTTCTGCTTACTATATCTGAGAAAAGGATCTACATGTGTTAATCATGTAACTTTTACCTTGACAGCTCCATGAAGTAAGGTCAGGTGAACCCTGTCTCACAGACATGTACGAGTACATATAAACATTGCAAGGAACCAATATTCCAAATAGATATCCTAATTTACTCATAATGTAAAAAATGAAAGAACCTTAGTGAGCGCGCTCACATACCCCACGTCCCCACATTAGGGCTTCCAAAATTATTTTAAGCCAGCCAGACATTTTATATATTATCCCGATTTTAATCACTTAAGACTAAATAAACAAAAGGCAATTATGATAATCAGTTGCCGAGTTGGACATCCCAATGTCAATGATTGACATTAAAAAAAAACGATATTAAACTTTCTTTGATTCAAATTCGAAGTTCTGACGTAAACTGTTAAATTGGCAGTGCATCATTCGAAGTGTGCAACATCAGCGTACTTATATCTGCCTTAGTCTCTTTATTTGTGCAAAATAACGTTGTCAAAAACTTTACTTTCGTTTTTAAACCAGATGTTATCTTGACAATGGTAAAACATGGACCAGAGACGGATACGTAAATTCCGAGTACGTTTGCAAAGCATGAATGAGTGTAAGTAGCTCTTTCTACGTTATTTCTTCAAGAAAATATTCGAAATAAACGTGAGATAAAGGTATCAATGACAATTTAAGCATTTTTTGAAGAAATTAGGCTGCAAAATTAAATTTCACACCTGAGCACATGTGTACTAGTTCAAACATGTCTCACCATCAAACAACGTGGTTATGACGATTTTTCATTTTCACCTTTTTAATTTTTCCATCAAATCATATTTGTAAACGTATTTCTGATAATTTAAATCTTTTTGACTAAATTAATTAGATGCAAACCGCTGAAATGTAAGAAAATAACTTTGAATAGACCGATCAATGTCCGGTTAAAAATAGTTTACCTGTCACCTGAACAGGTAAATTTCAGCTGTTCAGTGTTCGACAACTAATTAGCCTTAATTAAAATGAGAAGGTATTAAAGTAGGGGTTGTTTTGATAGTACTTAATGATCATGTCACTTTTATGACCGGAAATAAATGTGTGGCTGTTTAAAGCAAAAGGTTGGGTCAAAAAGATCGTGAATTATGTTAAAATGACCGTCTTTTAAGAAAGCCTTGAAAACTAAAAAGTAGATGTCCATTTCATGCTTTGCCCAGCCGGACAAATTATACAAATGTCCGGAATATATGACCGTTTTGGAAGCCTTGCCCCACATTGTCATTGGAGAAATAAAATAAGTGTAAGAAAAAAAAATTGTATCAAAAAAAAAAATTGAATCATAATTTCCTATCAATATGCACATCTACATAGTATGTCCTTATTATCTACACAGTTTCATGAAATTCTGTTGTGTGGTTTGAGAGGAGTTGCGATGACAAAAGGTTGCGGTAGTATATTGGGCAAATAAGTTCAAAGGGGCGTAACTCCTGGAAAAAAAATTGAATCGTAATTTCCTGTCGATATGCACATCTACGTAGTACAGTACACACAGAGAGGATGTAATTTCATACTCCCAACACTGATTCTGGTGTAACACAGTGTCATACTGTGAAACACAGATTTCTCTCCCAAAAAACACCAAGTAACATGAGTAATTACTCCCATATGGGAGGGTTTTATGACCTGTTGATTGCAGGTAAGAGTAATAAAAATCAACAAAGCACGACTGCATGGTCTGACAGTGACATAATTACAGGTCAACTATTCTCTCACTTCTTCCTATTTCAATCATTTCCTATTTAGTTTTATTTCTGAAAGCACTAAAAAAGGTTAACGAAATTATTTTTAAAATTTTTATACAAATATGTATTTTTAGATTGGAAACCTATTTACATTCTTTCATAATCTCATAATCAAGAATGGCAACTTGATATTTACAATAAGTTGTATTTATAGTCAGTTTAAACATATAGATATTAGTATATACATGGTTTAAAAAATAATAGTAATGATACAAAAAACTAGAGGCTCTAAAGAGCCTGTGTCGCTCACCTTGGTCTATGTGAATATTAAACAAAGGACGCAGATGGATTCATGACAAAATTGTGTTTTGGTGATGGTGATGTGTTTGTACATCTTAATTTACTGAACATTTTTCCTGCTTACAATTATCTCTATCTATAATTAACTTGGCCCAGTAGTTTCAGAGGAGAAGATTTTTGTAAAAGATTACTAAGATTTACGAAAAAATGGTTAAAAATTGACTATAAAGGGCAATAACTCCTAAAGGGGTCAACTGACAATTTCTGTCATGTTGACTTATTTGTAGATCTTACTTTAAAATTGAGAATGGAAATGGGGAATGTGTCAAAGAGACAACAACCCGACCACAGAACAGACAACAGCAGAAGGCCACCAACAGGTCTTCAATGCAGCGAGAAATTCCCGCACCCGGAGGCGTCCTTCAGCTGGCCCCTAAACAAATATATATACTAGTTCAGTGATAATGAACGCCATACTAAACTCCAAATTGTACACAAGAAACTAAAATTAAAAATAATACAAGACTAACAAAGGCTAGAGGCTCCTGACTTGGGACAGGCGCAAAAATGCGGCGGGGTTAAACATGTTACTTTGCCGACATTTATTGTTTTTTACAGTTTATCTCTATCTATAATAATATTCAAGATAATAACCAAAAACAGCAAAATTACCTTAAAATTACCAATTCAGGGGCAGCAACCCAACAACGGGTTGTTCGATTCATCTGAAAATTTCAGGGCAGATAGATCTTGACCCGATAAACAATTTTACTTCATTCAGATTTGCTCTAAATGCTTTGGTTTTTGAGTTATAAGCCAAAAACTGCATTTTACCCCTATGTTTTATTTTTAGCTGTGGCGGTCATCTTGGTTGGTTGGCCGGGTCACGCCACACATTTTTTAAACTAGATACCCCAATGATGATTGTGGCCAAGTTTGGTTTAATTTGGCTCAGTTGTTTCAGAGGAGAAGATTTTTGTAAAAGATTACTAAGATTTACGAAAAATGGTTAAAAATTGACTATAAAGGGCAATTACTCCTAAAGGGGTCAACTGACCATTTCGGTTATATTGACTTATTTGTAGATCTTACTTTGCTGAACATTATTGCTGTTTACAGTTTATCTCTATCTATAATAATATTCAAGATAATAACCAAAAACAGTAAAATTTCCTTAAAATTACCAATTCAGGGGCAGCAACCCAATAACGGGTTGTCCGATTCATCTGAAAATTTCAGGGCAGATAGATCTTGACCTGATGAACAATTTTACCCCCATGTCAGATTTGCTCTTAATGCTTTGGTTTTTGAGTTATAAGCTAAAAACTGCATTTTACCCCTATGTTCTATTTTTAGCCGTGGCGGCCATCTTAGTTGGTTGGCCGGGTCACGCCACACATTTTTTAAACTAGATACCCCAATGATGATCGTGGCCAAGTTTGGTTAAATTTGGCCCAGTAGTTTCAGAGGAGAAGATTTTTGTAAAAGTTTACGGACGACGGACGCAGGACGACGGACGCAAAGTGATGAGAAAAGCTCACTTGACCTTTCAGGTCAGGTGAGCTAAAAATTAATGAATAAAATAAAATAATGTAGATAAATTACATATATATATTATATTTATATAATCTTCCTTTATTTCGTATCATTTAAATTTAGAAAAAAACGATTGAATAAATTCAATTAAAATATATGTCTTTATTTTCTATTAATAATACTCCACTTACAGGTGATGTTTTGTTTGTTTTTGTATGTTTCTTAGGTATGAAAAACCAACACTGTCAGAACAAATGCTGAATATAATTTTAATAAATAAAGTTGTACAGGATTCTTTAATAAAATCAGATTATAATATGTCTCTGATTAAATTTAACAAATCTCACACTTTTCATCATTTTTGTGACTGTCATTTAATGACAGGAATTAAACACAAGAAATGTTTATTGTAGTCATCAACTACTGGCACACTTCAAAGGTAATCATAGCAATAAAAATCATGTTGTTGGGAGAAACCACACCAAGGTAATAAACAATTTAGGAGTTTTAGGGAGGAATTACTCCAAGTTTCTCCCAATTTCCTCCCAAGATTTGGAGAGAGTTGCTGGAGTTTCTTGGTGTGACACCAAGTTTTTACACAGTGTAGGGAGTATGAGATTACATACTCTCTGTGTGTACTGTATGTCCTTATTATCTGAAAAGGTTTCATGAAATTCTGTTGCGTGGTTTGAGAGGAGTTGCGATGACAAAAGGTTGCAGAAGTATATTGGGCAAATAAGTTCAAAGGGGCGTAACTCCTGGAAAAAAAATTGAATCGTAATTTCCTGTCGATATGCACATCTACATAGTATTTCCTTATTATCTTAAAAGGTTTCATGAAATTCTGTTGTGTGGTTTGAGAGGAGTTGCGATGACAAAAGGTTGCAGTAGTATATTGGGCAAATAAGTTCAAAGGGGCGTAACTCCTGGAAAAAAAATTGAATCGTAATTTCCTGTCGATATGCACATCTACGTAGTATGTCCTTATTATCTGAAAAGGTTTCATGAAATTCTGTTGTGTGATTTGAGAGGAGTTGCGATGACAAAATGTTGCAGTAGTACATTAAAGTAAATAAGTTCAAAGGGGCGTAACTCCTAGAAAAAGAATTGAATCGTAATTTCCTGTTGATATGCACAACTACATAGTATGTCCTTATTATCTAAAAAGGTTTCGTGAAATTCTGTTGTGTGGTTTGAGAGGAGTTGCGATGACAAGAAACAGGACTGACGGACGGACAGACGGACGGGTCAAAAACATTATACCCTCCGCAACTCGTTGCGTGGGGTATAAATAGAAATTCACAAAGCAAAATAAATTGCTTCGCTGAGCACAGCTGGATACGACCGCAGATGTCCAACCCTGAAAAGTTGGGGCAAAAATGGACACAATATTCACGCTTGATACAGGTTTGAATTTGGATTGTAATTAAATATTTGACACAGAATAACTGTAGTCAAAGAACTTAAAAATTGGTTATATGATTTGAATATATATTCAATTTTTTGCTTTTGTGCAATACACTATGCTGTTGCAAATAGTCCCCCCCCACAATATTTTTTTCACCTCCCCCTTTCCCTTATTCCAAAAAAAAATCTTTCACTCAAGGTATAGTCATTATCTCAAATCAAATTTCTAATAAAGTTTGCAACGATAATTACCCATTTAAATACATCATGAAAGTCTTAAAATATAAAATGACATACATAGTCATGGCTAAAATTAATATTAATTAAAAGTAACTTCTAACAAAAAAATTGACAGCTAATCACCTCAAGACAATCATAGTTTCTTAATAAATAATTTACAAGCAGTGTAAGGGAGGTAATCAAACATTGTTGTTTTTAAATGGGGATTGAATTAGCTCCCTTTGACTGCTTTAAAATTGTCTTAATTGTCCTTTAACCAGAAAAAACCTTGTTTTTCCCCCTTTTTTTGCCCCTAATTCCTAAATGGTTTGAGCCATAACCCCCCAAACTCAATCCTAACCATCCCTTTGTCGTATAGAAACTTATGGTATAATTTCAGAGAGTTTCATACACTTAAACACAAGTTATTGACTGGAAACTACAAAAATGCTTATTTGGGCCCCTAATTTCTAAACAGTTTGGACCATAACCCCCAAAATCAATCCCAACCTTCTTTTAGTGGTTATAAACCTTGTGTTGAAATTTTATTGATTTCTATTTACTTATACTAAAGTTATTATCCGGAAACCATCTGTCTTCGGACGACGCCGACGACGACAACATGATACCAATATACGACCAAAAAATTTTTAATTTTTGCGGTCGTATAAAGACCTAAACTTTTTTACAAGCAGTCCCTGAACCATTAAAATGTGATCTAACATGGCCAACCAACATATGATGGACAGAAACATTGAAACAAAAGGCATCTGTATACAATTTATGAAACATCCAAGTCTACTACCCTATGAAATATACATTGTAAAGCTTAATAATACAAATAGTAAAACCCAGCAGCCACTACCATATGCATGGACTTCCCTTTTTGAAATTGCCTTGGAATTCAGTATTTTTGTTATTGTTATACCATTTGGACTATTAATACTGTAACAAATATACATACCAGTTACATGTACATGTACTGTAGCTATAGGATCTCCTCTACGTCTTATCCCATCATTAATCATGTTAATTTCATTGAAACATATGATGTGTATTACTTCCATTCCACTGACATCTGAGGAGCTAATTCTGAAAATTTAAATTCCTGTGATTATCATGTAAAACACCTGAACCTGGTGCACTGCTTTCCGATGAAAATAAATTGGCAATACAGTTCTCTCTTGGTCATGTTGGTGAATATTTCAAAAAAAATATTTAACAAGAGAGAAAATAAGTGTCAGATTTTTAAAAATTTATATCACCAATACTGGTAATTAGAAGGCTCGACAAAAATGTAGGTCAAAAAGATATCATGCTGCATCATAATTTATACAATGCAAGTCATAATCATGTACATGATATTTGAACTTTATAATAGTAAAGGATAGATAGTCTTGACCAGAAATAAAGCCACACAACACTGTGTGACAACAGTGAAATATAAGTCCGCCATAGATGCACATACCATTATTGTAGGTCTTTTGTATATACCAGTGTTCTCCCCAGGATTTTTGGATAGCACCAGGGTAACGCGTGTCAAAATGATTTGTACAATATGTCGTGTCGTGTCGCGTTGCATCGCCTTTTTTTTCTTGTTAGTTTTTGTGTCATTACCTTTTTGTCTTTGTTTTGTTTACTGTGTTATGTAGACTTTGGGTCAAAAAAATTACTGGTAAAAAAAGAAGTAAATCAATAAACAGTTTGTATACTTTAATTTCTTTTAAGAATAAATAAAAGAAAGCACTATTAGTCTTTAAACTTAAGTCACTTTTTATATTTTGATCAAGCCAATTTGTCCTGATACTTGTAGTTACACAACACATTCCCCATTTTTGTTAGATTACACCATAACAATTAAATTTAAACAAGATTAAATTTTAATGCAGAACCTCTAGTAAATTAAAAACTATTTTCCATAGCTTAAGACATGATTCTTTTAAACAACAATACAATTATTATTAGAATCATTATTCACGGCTGGTAATCTACACACGCAGAACAATTGGTTCTGCAATGAAAACCGTGAGAGGATTTTCCGGTTATGCTTGAGTGGAGTAATTGTCACCGCTTCGAAAGGTATGTACATTTCTAAATCGCAATTTTTTAATTCAACTGATCAAAATATTGAAAATCGGAGAATGCTATGCTGTGGTGAATACTTTAACGAAGAGACACATATATCATTTACTGTTGTGCATGGAGTAAAACTCCTACAAAATCAATCGTCCCACGAGTAATTGCCGAAAAAAGTGACATTTAAATTTTGAGATGGTTCTATTAACAGACCTACAAGTTCAAATTTAGTTTTTTTTTTCTGTCAACGGGATTGAATATCGTTTTGGGTGGCGTGTACGCTGTCCGAAGTTGATAGACGTCTTAATAAATCTAAAAAATGCCAATTTTCATTATTTCATGCGTGAGGGGATCGGTTCTGATTGAGGACATGTATTAAGACTCAAATCTATGTTTTAGTTGTGAACGATGCAGAGCAATTCTATTTCCACAACAGATAAATTTTGGAGGTGATCTTGTGCCGCATCTTTCTTTGTGTTCCACCAATATATGCTGATAGGAAAACTCCCCTCCACAAATGTCACATTTTAATTTTTCCGCGTGCTTCTGTCTAATATGCGCCCGGAGACGGCACAAAGTTGAAAATTCCTCCTGAAAATCATTTGTGTTACACTGCATGAAAAGGCTTGGCTCCCACGTGGACCACAGATTCATGCCTTCTTTTACTATCTTTAGATGATGTCTTGTCACAGTAGCTGCACTTTGTGTCTAGTGTGTTTTCATGTACCAGATTTACTTGGAAGTTCAGCTTTGGACGTTGAGTATATGACTTATCACACTGCAGACAATGGTGGCGTGTTCTATCCATCAATAACATAGATTAAAGTCTTTATACATGCACACGAGAAAAAAAAACATAGTCAATGTCAATCATAAATCTAAACCACTTATATTTAACGTTGTAGCCATTTCCATTTCCATTGTCAACTTATATTTAGTATGAACTTCAATAAAACTATGCAAGTTACTTGCCCTTCTTTGAAGTGATTGTTGCATTTTTCGATATAAAGATATGATTGCACTTCCCCTCACGCATTCACGATGTCCTCAATCAGAACCGATCCCCTCACGCATGAAATAATGAAAATTAGCAGTTTTTATATTTATTAAGACGTCTATCAACTTCGGACAGCGTACACGCCACCCAAAACGACATTCAATCCCGTTGACAGAAAAAAAATCTAAATTTGAACTTGTAGGTCTGTTAATAGAACCATCTCAAAATTTAAATGTCACTTTTTTCGGCAATTACTCGTGGGACGATTGATTTTGTAGGAGTTTTACTCCATGCACAACCGTAAATGATACATGTGTCTCTTCGTTAAAGTATTCACCACAGCATAGCATTCTCCGATTTTCAATATTTTGATCAGTTAAATTAGAAAATTGCGATTTAGAAATGTACTTACCTTTCGAAGCGGTGACAATTACTCCACTCAAGCATAACCGGAAAATCCTCTCACGGTTTTCATTGCAGAACCGATTGTTCTGCGTGTGTAGATTACCAGCCGTGTTATTGTGTTACTTGGTAGACAGACAATAGAAGTATATTTATATCATCTATCTGTACACCCATATATCATATCAAGCTGAGTTCCAATCAATGTCTTAAGACTGGGACTTCTTTAAAACAAGTTATTATTGGAAAATACTACCTATTTATTATAATAAGATAAGATAAGATAAGATATTTTATTTCCAATTATGGGCCCCAAAGGGCATAAACATTACAACATCAATAATTTTTCATAATACAATACAAACAATGAGATAAAAAAAAAAAAAAAAAGTTAAACGAGAACTATTTAAGTTCTTAAAGAATACGTAGATAAAGAATCTATAGTATGTTGTTTTTTTTAATACTAATGCATTTTATTGCAAGTGTGGTATGTCTGTGCATTAATAAAAGTATGATTATCAAAAATAATTTGCAATATATTTTTGTTGGTATGTTGAAAGAAAGTTTTTATCCTTAAGCTAACATTCTTATATAATTTTGCATTCAATTTGTACTTCATTTCTATTTTCAGTGATAGATAATATTTTAGGAGCACTTATTTGTAATAAGCTAAATCAGGGGAAGTAACTCCAACACGTTTAAAATACGCAAATTATTTATAACCAAAGGCTGGAGTAATAGAGTTAATTAACAAATGTCTGCTTGTCCCTCACAAGTCTGATCATTAATTATGATCTCTTAATTAATTAAAACACAAAAGAATCATGTACATCGATTAAATCCAATCATCAAGGTTAACCTCAAAAGGTAAATCGATCACGTGGTGTAAACAACCTAGTTGTAAGAACTGGATTGAACTGGTTTGAACTGGTCAGTTTTCATCTGAAATTTTATACCCCACAGAAAAGGTTTAACAAGTCGTTTAAAACTTTACCGATTTACGATTTTTTTACCGAAAATTTTAGCACCACGGAGAAAAATTATACATCGCGGCAAGAACGATACCACCACGGTAGAAAATTATACATCGCGGGCCCGCGGTCCTTTAAGGGCCTGGGGAGAACACTGTATACAATATATACGTTTAAGGTTACTTAGAATTGGCTGTCGACATACATGTACACATACCAGTACTGTCAGGCATGTTCAGAGTCATTGGACGCTAGGTTACTCCAGTCCATTATCAGTCACTATCAATAGTCAACTCCTCTGTCCATTTGTTGTAATACAATGTACTGCTGAAAGGAGAAAACAGTGCTTTATTAACAGCATGTGGATGCAAGACTATAAAAAGTATTCAAAGAGTTTTGCAAACAATTAGCTTATATATTTATTGTTTACTAATATTAAACACGTATTAAAAAGCAATGGATTGAAGTTGCTATTAACATCATTAAGAACAATAAAGAAAAATTAAAGTTAAATTTTTTGCCCTTTGGACCTTTAATTTATGTTCAAAATAGTGCAAGTCTGAGGTCCGGGACCTGTCATTTCTAGGACATGTAGAAGGGGACTTATTTTTAAATTACAAGTCATAGACCTACCATTCTTCATACAGATCAGATGCTTTAAACATGACCCCTGCCTTTATGAAGACAAATTTGAAAACCAGACCCAAAATTAAAAATCCAAATACACGGTTAGATTCTGCATATAAAAAAAAATCAATAATTCAATTTTTGATGGAATCCAATAAAGTTTAAGTTTGGACAATTTAGATCACAATGTGGACCAATTAACAGTCAGGGCCCGGTTGTTCTGAAATAACTGATTTATGAATCACTCATTTAAGTACAAAACTGTTGCAAATAAGAAATTTTGTCAATTTGTAGTTTTACCAACATTTTAAACATACAGTTTTCAAATGGTTTTAGTTTATATCTAATTATTAGTAAAATTGAAATAAATGAACTTTCCTTTCTTAACAGATAATAAAATTTTACTGTTAACCATCAAAATTTAACTGTTCAGGGGTGTTGAAATTAGGGGGGGGAGGGGTTAATTAAAATAATAATGCTTAAAGAAGTGATTTTTTAAAATAAATAGAGGTACATGTATGATACTTAAACAAGTGATTTTCATGTCAATATCCCATATTCAGTACAAGGTTATCACTTGACATGACTGGACAGTCTATAAACACAGATGTTGGTTCTGGTAATTTTAGCAATATAATAAGCCCATGTATTATACATTTAAAGCTACAATAAAATGAAATCACTTAGTCTAGTGATTTATTTGTACATGTACAACTTAAATTGGTGATTGTTGAAGAATGAAAACTCTTACTTCCAACATTTGTGGACACAATGTCACTTGAATCAGTGATTTAGAAAATCACTCATTAAAGTAAGTCCCTTGACTGATTAAAAACAGATCCAAATATTCAAACTCTAAAATACAAGAAAAAATTCAAGACTGCATTCAACTTCATTGAAATTGGTCAAGAAATAGGTAACTTGTACAGTGTATCAGAAAAGTATTGTTTAGGCCCCTTAGGCCAGGGCTTTTTTATTTGTTGGTTTACGGATCCGCCGACCCTATTTTTCTGATTTGCAGAATAAAAAAAAATTGACATTTCATGCTTTTTATTTCCACTGACCCTTACAAAAACCTTAAAACCTTATCCCTGAAATATAAATACAAATTTTCTTTTTTTATGAAATGCATCAAACACTAACAGAATTGATAACACATTGTGTCGTATCTAAAAATAGACAAATCAATCATAATTGACCTTAAAATAATTTTGCGGTGGAGCGAAACCTGTGTTCAAAACCAATTACAATAAGTTTGTTTCCCTTTTTTTTCATAAATCTGTAAGATGTATCATCTCATAGATGAAATGGACCTGTCCAAATGTGGAAGATTTCAAGTTAAATTATAGATATTCACAAACAATTTGGAATTTTCTTGTTTCATAGATAATAAAAAAAAATGTCCATTTGGATATCTATCA